TTAAATACTTTCAAGCAAATTTTAAAAGCTGCCACTGCTACAAATGTAGAACTACATTTCCCGCTCATTAGGTACCGCCGCCGTAGAAGTAGTCGAATTTCAGAGAGCCCGAAAGAACAACTGGTGCGATAAGGAATGTCAAAAATCTGCAGAGAAAAAAGATGCCGCCTACAGGGCAACGCTGCGATCGGGTGCAACGCGAGCCATGTGGGGCCGTTACACGGAACTGAAGAAGGAAGCGAGACGTATTTGTCGCAATAAGAGAGAGACCAAAATATGTAAGTGCGAAGAGCTTGAAATGCTGTCCGACAGGAAGTATGCCCGAAATTTTTACTGGAGGGTTAAGCGACTTACGGAAGGTTTCAAGACCAGGGCGAAGTCCTGTAAGAACAACAATTGCGACCTGGTGACCGATGTCCACAATGCTCTTACTTATGGAGGGAACACTTTTCCACCCTACTGAATACTAGCAGCGCTGAAAATAGTGGAGAAGACGAACTCGAGCCCCCAGTTGATAACGATGGAGTCGATGTGCTACCGCCTGACTATGACGAGGTGCGAATAGCGATTACGCGGCTGAGAAACAACAAAGCGGCTGGAGCTGACGGCCTGCCAGACGAGCTATTCAAGTACGGTGGCGGCGAAGAGCTAATAAGGTGCATGCATCAACAGGATGACAGGAATTTAAGTGTGCTCTGCCCAATCCACAAGAAAGGCGATCGCGCCATACGCTCCAACTACCGCGGGATCAGCTTTCTAAGCATAGCTTCCAAGTTCTTATCGAGTGTATTATGTGACTGTTGACAGTTACAAGTTTGAAAAAGTAGACGACTTCGTTTATTTGGGAACCAGCATTAACACCAATACTGTCAGCCCATACCAATACCACTAATGTCAACCTTGAAATCCACCGAAGAATCACTCTTACCAACAAGTGCTACTTTGGGCTTAGTAGGCAATTGAGAAATAAGGTCATCTCTCGTCGTACAAACATCACACTCTATAAGGCATGTATAATGAAAATGGTGGTACATGCCATGCTATAAGTGGAGAATGGCACGCAAAATTTGTTGCATTGGCAATAAAAAATTACACTTAATCAATTTTTATTACAATCAAGAGGCAATTGCAACTATGAATTCAACTAACTAATCGAAAATAATCTTTAAATTTAATAGATCGTATTTCAATGAATTTTAAAGAGGGAACTCCTTTGCAAATGTTGAAGGTTATAAAAAAGTACATTTTATGGTCTGCATATTTGGATATCTATTAAAATTCAATTAATCATCAATCGAAATGAATGCTACACGCGATGTTGCCAGATTTACAGTTTTAACTGTAAATTACAGTTTTCTAAACAAGCTTACAGTTCGCACACCGTCTTTAAAAGGGGCACAACTCAAAATGCACGTTTGTTAGAAAATGCGACAAACTATTTCTTAGCACATGATAATCATATGGGCAAGGGAGACTTTACCTTAGGTTTTTTTTAACGAATTATAACAAAAATTTGCTCCAGCTTTTGCTGAATGTCAAATTTTGAGTTGTGCTTTTTTTGAAGACGGTGTGCGAGTATTTAAATCACCTCCTAGTAAAAATTAAATTTTTTTTCGTAATTTCCGATTTAGAGGAATAAATTAAAATTTCTCTTTCAATTTTTTGTAAGTATATTTTTTCGATAAAAGGCGACCATGAAGGTGCAGCATTTTTTCATTTGAAACAAAGGGTTTTAGCTGTCCTTTGCCTTCTAGTCGACACAGCAAATTCGAGAAGAATATTTTTCCCGATGAATTTGAATAAAACAAGAAATAAGAGCTAAAGCTTTCTTTAAAAAATATCCTTTAGGAGGGACTAAATTTGAATTAACGGTTCAAAAATTAACAAAGCAATTTACGAAAAATTTTGAAATATAATTTCATTAAAACAAAATATTTATAAAGTTTATTTTTGTTTAATTAAGTATAATTTAAACGGTTTATGCTATTTTATTTTAAATGAGTCATTTTTGGTAGTTATTTTTAAAACTATTGAAACCGCTTAATTTGTTTTTTTTTTTTTTGTGTTTTAAGGCTATAATTTTTTGGTCGAAAATATAGTTTTATATCCGGAAACTTCAGTTAAAAAAAAACACTGGCAACACTGGCTACACATTTACCTTAAGCATACTACAATGCCTTATTTTTAAACAACTGTACAAACTTTTGACAGCAATATTTATGATAAATGAGCTGAATAAATTAACAATATAGAGCTTTGAGTTTTCAAAATGCGCAATCAAGCCAAATTGCATAATCAGTTCGCAAGCAATGGCATTTCGATTGAATGGCTATGATGGATTATGGCAATCATTTAAGCCAGTATTTAGCAACCAACGATACGCCCGGTTTGAAAATAAGCAAATTTATTGCATTCGGAGCGGAATATAACAAATAGACTACCATCTGCCTGTTTGATTAGTGCAGATGTAAGCTGACATTATAATTCAGAAAAAATTCAGCTAAACATAAACAAACGAAATCATTGTTGAGAAAAACATATGTATGTATGTATGTATTCCGTTTGCGTAACTAAGCACTTTTCTCTGTGCAGAGCTATATGGAATACTTTCGATTCCAGCAAGACGCGTTAGGCATACAATTTCCACCATAAATGTACGAGGTCACTTTGATAAGTCAAACTTTTTAAATATAATATTGGTATTTGTTTCAGGGAAAACATCTTCATTCGACCCCAATGCACACATAAGTATGTACATACACTTCTCGTCATTCGATTAGCGAACCCCTTAAAAACCTAGTATTTACAGCTTTCCTTTTGTTTATTTAATATTTATTAATTTTATGATTGTGTCGGTTATTGGCCGTTTAATACAATTTAAAAAAAAAAAATATATATAAAAATAAATTATTAAATTTATTAATTTTACATAAAAACATAGCATATTAAACCAAAAAAAACACGTAAGTAAATCCTGTTTTCAAATTTTATTCTAGTTAAAAAAAGTCAACAAAAGGGTGCGCTATTCTAATGACCAACAGTGAATGAGGTAGTAATATTTTTAGAAAAGTTTCGTGAATGCAGCTTTGTGGCCCATGTAATTTTAGTATAATAAAGTGTAAAGTGCCGTCGTTGTTTTCGGCCATCAGCGCCGCTGATCCTAAGAAATGAGTGGTCAGAAGACTGAAGCCCTTTCCTCCTCATTTCAGGTCGCTGTCGGTGTCGTCTGGGCGTTTTGTCGCCACTTGCCTTTCAGCTGTCCCGCTAAATTTCAAACTAGGGACGTGCCGGGTATCCGTTTTTCTGTTATCCGACTGGCTAAAATCCGACCGGATTTCCGGATTTCAATTATAGAAGATTCAATTTAAAAATTTATTTGAAGATTTTTTTTTAATGGTATCTTATTAATAATTAAAGTTAACTATTTCCGATTTATCGGGCAACAACCTATTGCTATTGAGTTTACTGAGGAAGGTGGTGTGCAGAGATAATTCATTTCCAGTGAAAACAAATTTGGAAATTCTTTGCGACTATGCTTCCACCAAATTAAAGGATCTTCTTGTTTGGGTATAACGGGTAGCTGTAAATATTTCTCCATTTCTAAATCGCTGCCTTTTTTCTTTTGCGGTCTCTGCCTTGTCTACCCATCATTTGGCCATCCACATCACTACAAAAACTGGGAATAAGCATCAGAACCGTTGGCAATTTCCTCAAAACATTGCCTAATATTCTGGTGAGCTCGCTCCTTCAATAGAAACTTTCACAAAAGTTCGCCCTTTTTCATATGATTTAATTGGTTGCTCCATGCTAATAAACCCAGTGTTTAGCTTTATTGACGCCAGAAAAAAAGGAGTTTTGAACCGGAATCCGGTTACCCGGCAAAATCTCTATCCGGCGCATCCCTATTTCAAACTTTATAAAAAATTTTGGAAAATTCAACAAATTTTCATGAAAATTTCGGTCTTTTTAATTTAAATCTTTACAAATTTTTTGGAAATGTGGTTTTATAGCCCATACAATTTTAATTTCATAAAGTGCAAGTTTCAAGCGGCGAAAAAATCGAGTTGATTTTTTTGTGTAAAGTTTAAAACTTTGACCAATAGAATTTTGTCAAAAACTTGGACAATATTTTTATAGCAAAATAACAAAAAAAAAATTTACTTTAGAAATATAGTGAATATTAAAAAATCAACACGTGAACACTTATTTGAGTCACTGTATGTATGTATGGCGACGAATTTTGCTTTCAATAAATTTTTTGTCAATACTTTAAACGAAATAGTCGAACTAGTTGCAGTGACAAACAATGGAAATGGTGTCGTTTTTTATGAATAGCGACTCGCCTTAATATACATATTTAATATAATATGTGTATATGTACATTACGGTACCCATCGGAAATGTTTTTTTTTTTTAATTTGAAGACTCTACCCCCTAATTTTATTCATTTTTATGAGAAATATTCTTGCCTATTTTTATAGATTTTTTTTAAAGGTCATTTAGAGGAAAAAATCCTAACAAGTCATGTCCGAAAATAGATTATTACGTAACATTTTAATTTTTATTCGATATTTGAAATCGAATTAAAAATAGTCATTCAAAAACTCATAAATCTACAAAATCTTATTTTCTGACCTAAATCGACAGATCGCGACCTCTAAATGACCTTTACAAGAATCTATAAAATAGGCAATAATATTTCTCATAAAAATGAATAAAATTAAGGGGTAGGGTCTTGAAATTTCCAAAAAAAAAAAACACATTTTCGATGGGCACCCTAATGTAAATGTATTCACTTCCGAAAAGTGCCATTTGTGCAAATATAAGCGATGTATGTATTGTTTCAACCTCCAAAACACTTGGCTTGGCATTCGGCCTGTTCCGTATCAAGTGCGGTGAAGATTTCGCTAAGAATTGTTACCTTATTTTTGATTTCAGCCATATGATATACTTTAGTGGTTTGATTAAGTCCGGCCAAGTACTTTATTAGTTTATCTTCTTGTGGGCTTTTCGTAAATTAAAAAAATATAAATAAATTGCTTTAAAAAAAAAGATGCACTCCTACCGCAACCCAGCTATCGCAGCGTTTTTACTACTCCTAAGCCAATTCGCTGTTATTGCCAATTCGCAACCGCCACAGGATTTGGCCGCCAAATTAAAGCTGGCATGTCCAGAGCGCTGCGCTTTAGCTTTCCGCTGTGATCCCTACTATAGCGGCCCACCTGTATGGGCGATTGTAGATGACATTTGCAAGCTTTTCAAAACCGACTGTATCTTAGCCAGTGTCAACTGTCAGCGTCAGAATGAATGCAGGCCAAGTGAGCAAGATTTTGCATTTCAAAATTTCTTTTTTTTCAACTTTCATTTTCACTTCTACTTATTTACTTTCTTCAGGATTGGTTGCAACCTCACAGCAAATATGCCAGCTAAAGTGTGTGGACGTGTGCGACAATTTGCCCAGTGCACCGGTGTGTGCCAGTTTTCCCTATGTGACTGTGCGCGGTGGTCGAAATGATGGCATGTTAACATTTAAAAATCAATGCGAATTGGACAAGTGGTCTTGTTGGAATGCGAAAGGTTTGTGACGAATTGATTTAGTGTGAATATTTGATACGAGTTACTATATGAAACGAAATCTTTTTTCATACTTATTATATAGCATATGTATCTGTCCAGAATGGTACCTGTTTTTGAAGTAAATCCTATCATGTCGCATGGATTAAGACAAGTAATAATATTGGAAAACACTCTCTCACCTCTTGTAAGAATTTTATTTAATTATTAATTTTGATTAAAAGTAATCGTATACGAAGGGTGAATTCCTATACAAATTCATGACGAATCACGAATTATTTTTATTGCAAAATATAAAACTGAAGAGTAAGTAAATGAAAAATGTAGAAAAATAATAAAAGGAGCAACTTAAGTTTTATAACTTTTATAAAATAATACTATCTAATGATTATTTACTGATTTTTTATTTATTGCTCAAAAAATCTGGCCTACTTAAAATGGTCTCAAATATGACGAATTTTAAATAAAAAGAAAGCTTATTCCTTAATTTTAAGGTACAAGGCTACATAACGTACCATCAAATTAAGGAATAAGCGACCTTTATTTTAAAATTTTAAAATTTTTCTCGAAAAGGTGGTATTTCAAGGATGGTGCCGTACTAATTTGGCACCGATCATTGGATCATAAAGAAATTAGCAGTGTTCCTAAATTTTTATAGGAGCATAGAAGTTTTGTTTTTTAACCGACTTCCAGAAAAGGAGGAGATTATCAGTTCGTCGGAATATTTTTCTTTTTATGCATGTTTGTTTATGTATTTGTTTGCTTAGAAAGCAAAAGTAGTTTCTGGTGTTTTTCATAAGAAGCTAAAAAATCGTCAAATAAATATTTATACTTTTATCATTAAAAGTAAATATGAGAGGCTCTTAAGGCTAAAGACTAATCCTAAGGCAAATCGAGTACGATTTCGATACGTAAGCGAAAGCAAACATGCGTGTGAAGGCGAATAAGAAGACGAATAGAAAGATGAAAACATGAGTCGTATGATACGAAAACCAAAATGAAGAATACGAAGACGAAGAAAAAAAGGAACACCGAGGCAAATACGAAGACGGAATCGATTAAAAAACGAAGGCGAAGGCGAATACTAGTACGAATACGAACACGAATGCAAATACGGACACGAATACCAATTTAAACGCGAAAACGACCATTGCCATTACTTTTGCCATTACTATACCCAAATCCATTACCATTACCATAACCTTTACCATTACAATTACCATAACTTTTACTATTACCGTTACCATTACTAATGCCATTACAACTACTTTTACAAATACCATTGCCGTTACCGCCAGCATCTTTATAGTTATCGCAATCTTTATTTTTACATTTATATTAATCTTGTCATTATCTGTGTGTATTTGCATTTCAAACCCCCAACAATTAAGTTTTATTTTCTAAGCAAAGAGTAAAACTCAGAAAATAACGATTATTTTCCAACCAATGAAAAAGCTCAAAAATAATTACAATTTTTAGTTTGATAGTTGACGGCTGTCAAATCGACCGCCAATTTCTCTAAAAATAAGAAAATTTTTTGAAAATATCACTGCTTAGGTTTTTAGACATGCTATTTCCGAATTTCATTTCAAATTAAAACTTTGAGAGTTGACAGCTGTCAAATGGGTTGTTAATTTTTCTAAAAATAAGAAAATATTTTTTTAAACGCTACTGATGAAATGGATAAACACGCTAGTAACGAATTTTTGAAAGTTTCGCAAGAATTAAACATACTAGGTCTTAAGGCTGACTGATCTCGAGTTCTATATCGCATTAAAATTTTTTCATTTGACAATAATTTATTTAAATATCGGACGTCATATTAGGTTTTTATATTTTGAATTCGCAAAACCTAGTTTGAAATTTGTAATGAGCAAACTCAAGAACCTCTAAATACGAAATTTTTGATTCAGTAATTTCTAAATTCTTCTAAAGTTGGTTTAGTGAAATAAACATGGCCAACACTCTTTTTGGCGCCAGTATGCGGGGCTTTTCTTTTCGTAGATCCTTGAAGGACACTTTGCGTTACTTTTTGAAAGTAATTGAAAGTATCCATAAAAAAAAGAAATTAAGAAAGCCATCAATAAATAACTGTCAGATCGAATTCGTCGAATTAAACGAATTCAATGGCTTTCTGAGCATACATTATTGAAACTACTAATCAGTTTTGAGTTCGTTGAACTCTTCTGAATAAGAATAGCTTTATTCCGGTTAATTTATCACAATTTTCATGGCTTAACCTTCTAATAAAATTTGTAGTCGTGTTTCCTGTCTTCCAACATCTCTTCATGTCTCTCAATATCTTAAGCTCTTCGCGCTCACGTATTTCGGTCTTTCTTATATTATTATGGAGAATATTTACCTATTCAGTCCCCTATATCGATCCCATATGCTCGTGTGTATGTAGCTCGCGTTGCGCCCGATCATAGCGTGGTTCTCTTAGACGGCATCTTGTTTCTCTGCATTGGGTTGATGATATACATCGTCATACTAGTAAATGCTTGTATATTTCTGCGCCATCAAAAGGGTAAGTAAATTGATAAGATAAGGCCGCTGTGGTTTAGTGGTAAGCAGTGCGCGCTTCCACTCCGCAACGCCTGGGTTCAAGCCCTGGTCAAAGCAACATCGCAAAAATATAGAAAAGACTTTTTTTCTCCCTCGGCAGGCAATGGCAAAATATTTTTGTTGAAGATTGCCACCTGTTTGAAAATTTTAATTCAATTAATTGATATAAGATAAATTTAATACTGCAGTATGGGTATCAAACAGGCGAGGTTATTGAAAATTTACTGCCCACAAAATTTTTGAGGAGGGCTGCCACCTGTTTGAAAAATTTCATAAAATTAAATCAATAAAAAATAAATGAAATATGTATTACAATACGGATATCAAACAGCACAAAAACATTTAAGGCGCCGTGAAGCACGCCGGGTATTTGCTGGTTTTGTATAAAACTGCCGATTTTGTACAAAGTTATAATGAATTTTTCTTATTCGAATATCACTTTGAATGCTCAAAAAATTTTAATTTTTCCGCCGAATACCACCTGCGTAAGTAGCTTTACATATTTTCACAAGATGTCGTAACGTCGTTAAAAAATATATATGACTTCAGGCTATTACGACAATAACGGCATCTGGTGAATGCACTAAAATTGCACGCATGTAAGTGATTCTATAAATAAATACCAAAACACTTGTGATTATTTGCATGTACAATGTATGTACATTAGACTGCATCACTCCCCTTACCAACAAAAAAAAACGGTACTGTGTTTCCATTGGAATTATATTTTAAGACGTCCAACTAAATAATTCGCAAAAATATTAAGATTTACGTGAGCTGGGCCGATTTGAAAATACCTCAAAAATGGGATTTTTTATTAATAGAAATGTTTTCTTAAAATAGAATAGTTTTGGCCCAGTTATACAAGTTTTTTGTAAATCATTCTTCGAAAAAGGTAAAAAAAAAACAACATCAGAAATCGTATTATTACGATTCCGTTGAAAAGATTTTTAAATATTTGTATGCAGATTTTTTAAGTTTAATCTGTTTTGTCATATGGGGGGACTTTTTCAAAAAGTTCTTTAAGAAACTCTTTTTATTCATAAAAAACTCCATTTCTGGAGTTTTTTTCAAGTCGGTCCTGCTCATGTAAATCGTAATATTTTTCCGAAATATTTTCGTAGACGTCTTAAAATAAAAAAAAATTGTAATCCCGGCAGAAAAATCGCAACTTTTTTGGTGATGCGGTCTTATGTACATAAATTAAACGTATATTAGGCTGCAACATACTTTATAAAAAAAAAGTCGGTACCTACTATGTTCCATCAGAAATATAAAACATACTTTGACATATGTATTTTAATACTTCAGCCAAAATATATTTAGACAAATATTAAGATTTGCGTGAGCTGCACCTATTCGAAAATACCCCCCATAAATCAAGTTGTTTATAGAAAAAAATTTTTTAAATATGGAAAGCTCGCAATTTTTTTGGTTATGCACCCTAATGTAACATGTATGTATTAAAAATAAGTAGGGATATATGTATGTACATATGTATGCACTTATATTTTCATGCGTAAGTTAAATTTTACAGTCGAGTGAAAAAGCAAGAACATTAAGGGAAGCACGGAACAGGATTTGGTCCACAAGGAAGTGGGCCTTCTTGATACCAGACTGCAAACAAGTAAAGAAACCAACAACTCCATATAGTTAATATAGAAATATGTAAATACTCAAATAAGTAGATAAAATACGCACATTCGCCGGTATTACACAGATGCTTCCTCCACTCGCATTGGCTGGGGAAGGTGCAATATCTTCCACCACGATGTGCACAGATTGTTTCCCTCGGCGCATCGGAGCAATCATTTACACACAATGATTGACATTCTGTCTGCGATATCCTCTGAAGCACTAAGCAAGGAAAATCGTTATGTTTTTTTATAATTATGTATGTATGTGTCTTTAATTATACTGAAATCTTATCTCAAATTTCCGCCTACTCACATGGACGCCTCTGACGAGAGCGGTCGCAGTTGGCTTGGGCGTAAAAACACGGATTTAAAATCGTTCTACATTCGTTATTTTCATCTTTGGCCCATACCAAATCCTCAATTTGTGGAGCACAATCCACAATAAGTCCTGGCCTACATCTCGGTGGCGGTGTTGGAGCTGTTGTATTAGCTGACGCCACTTGCGTCGAAAGCCCAGCTAAGAGTGCCAACAAAAAACAGGTCAATCCAACAGAAGTCATACTTTTAAACTGCACTTATTGATTTGAGTTGTATAAATTGCTTCCGCCAATTGTTCGCAATGTATTTATGCACTTACATACTCCTATTTATACGAACACATGCACTCGTATGTACACCATTCTGAGCAGCTTGTTTAGCTTATGAGAACCAGCGAGGCATTCATATTAATGTGTTTACCAAAATAACTTTATATTTATTTTCCGCGGATAAATGAACGAAAGAAAGCTAAAAGTCTTTCAACAGAAGGGATACGCGACTGTCTTAAGCGCCTTAAGTTGGAAAATTCAAATATTTTTTTTTTTTATAACATTTAGCACTGAAGCGAAGTTATTATCAGTTAGTTAGAGGTGGTCGAGACATTTACCAATTCAAGGCAATATTCATATTGACACATAGTTATTGTATGTAAAATTAGGAGCAAAGTAGAAAAACATACCCATATCTTTACAGTCATTCTAGAAAGCACAAAACATCTGGTAGGGTATTCGAACACAAACTGTGACTAATTAAAATTATAATAAAAAAAAATAAAATAAAACGTTTTGCAAAAATCACCGGCCGTGCTTTTTCACATGTTTCATTTATCGCGCTCACAGTTCCGTAGAATACTAAATATTTATGTGCGTATGTACATTAGGCTGGTCCAAAATGTATGTGAAAAAGTAAAGGATGAATTTTGATGCTCGCACTTCCTAGAATTGTTCTATACCGAAAAACATATACCCCTTTTTTGTTATTTTGAAATCAAAAAATATATAGGGGTCGCTCAAAGCGGTCAAAGTTTTCCATGTATTTTATATGGGAAAAAACACTTTTCGTAGAAATGGTATAGAATTCTTGTGAATCAATATTTTTCGATTGGAAAACTCTGTTTCTCTTCTGGAGATTCCCAATAATAATCATTTATTTAACCATTTTTTCATAGTAACTACAAATATTTTATAGGTCCGCCAAATATGGTTAAATAAATTCCATGCCATTTCTGTGAAAAGTTCTTTTTTCCCCATATAAAATACATGGAAAACTTTGAGAGCTTTCAAAATAACAAAAATAAGGGTATATTTTTTTCGATATAGAACAATCCTAGAGGGCGAGAGCATTGAAATTCCGACTACACTTATTTTGGACCACCCTAATGTACATAGGTACATACCACTAAATACCTCATACGAAATTTTTTAGAGATTGTCTTCACCAAATACAAGACACAAAACCACTTAGTACTTATGACTTAATTAAGTAATAAGTACTTGCTATTTCCTCAGTGTAAAAAATAAAGAATTTCGGGATTCTCGAAACTGCTTTGATATATCGATATCGGTAAATATATCAATAGAAATGTCTATCATCAATTACTATATCGGTTACAATACCAATATTATATACAGCATTTCGATAAATATATGTATTTATTATAATGACGATTAATATATCGATATTGTTATCGATAAATATATCAATACAAATATCGATATATATGTATATAGATGAAAACATCGATAAATATATTGACATCATAATAGATAAACGCAACGGAAATTCCGAAATGAGATGTGGTGAGTTAATTTTTGATTAATTTATATAAGTGTGGTAGGATCAGGTGTGGTAAGTTTAAGTGAGATATGGTGAGTTTGTGTGTAGTGGGTTGATTTGAGGTGAGGTGAAGTGAGTTGTGGTAAAGTAGGTTGAAGTTATTGTAAGGTAAATTTAAATTTCTCCTAAAAATATGTAGGCATCTACTAAATACCTCGGTACTTTAGTGAAATTATTTTTTGCGTCTCCAAGGTATCTAAGTAGTTTGGACTAGGGTATTTAGCGCCTGCTAAGTACTTTCATTTTTTGTACTTTAGTATCTAGCAGCCATCAAATACCCAAGCTCTTTTTTACTATAATATCTAAACTTTCCTAAATACTTGTTTTTTTTCTACTCGGGTATTTCCTTAATACGAAAGATTTTTTTACTTGAGTATTTATTAAACTCTTAATTACCTCAGGTTTCTCTAACTTGGTATTACAGATATAAACACATCATTCATTTGAAGCGAAATGAAACAAGAGTTTCGTTCCTCAACTTTTCTGAGCTAAAACCTGTAAAACAGTAAAAAGCAAAATTGCGCTCAGAGAAAGAGGGAAAAACTAAAAAGTACGGGAACGCTACGCGGGTAAAAGTTGGTAAAACTGTCGGATACGCCGTGGGCCCATTTTTTGTGTACGTGGCAGTTTTTTATCATTTAGCAATCTGCTAAATTGTACGCAAATACACAGACAAATTAACAAAAATACCTTCAGAAATTGAAATTTCTTCGCTACGATATATTTAATGAGGTGAAAATGCGGATGTACGTTTTTTTTGCTTATTCAACATTCAAATCGTTTGAACAGCTGATGGTTTAACACTTCTGATGCTTCTGGAACTGAATTCCAACATTTTAATATTACAAAATTTAAAAAGTTCGTTTCGTTATATCATTTTAAACGATTCTCTATCATTAATGGCTATTCCATTAACACCTAGAAAGTAGTTATTTAATAAATTATTGTGAGTTTAAGACAATGATATTCTTTATCACAAAATGATGGTTTTAACCATGATAAAAACATAGCAAGGTATAACCGTTCTCTCAATTTGTCGGCCATGATTTTTTTTTTTTGAAGTTTGCCAACATTTTAAAATCATATAAAAGTGAAAATAAAAAATTGAAATTGTACGAAAATGTTGTTGCTTGATATTGAAAATGAAAATGTGTATGTGAGTTTGTGAGTAAATTTAAAAATTAAATTGTTTGGAAACGTCAAGAATTTTAAAAGTGACTCTCAGCGGTTCTACCTTACTATATTTTTATCATGGTTTTAACTTTGTGAGAACTTTGTGAGAAAAAGTTTTCACAGTGAAAATTTTTTGATAAATTCATTAATTTATATTTGAAAACAGAGTCGTTATTTTATGTGAAGTGATGAAAAATGTTTTCAGTTCACGTTTTCACAGAACAGGAATCGGCACACAGGATACATAATAAATTTGAGTGTTTCCGATAACTCCTTGAATTCAGAAAACCTCGATGAAAATTCGTCGCTGAGAGAATTTATTACCAAAGAAAGCTCTTAACGCTCTAAATTGAAATCTGATTTTAAGTTTGCTAAGTTTGGCAAACATTTACAATTTTTGGAAACAATGGGGCTATTCATAGTCAAAATATAGACGAAACTGAAGTTAGTTACCGCCTTTGGCACAATTATCAATGTAATATCTGCCAAAAAAAGCTGCTACTAAATTTAGATCCAACTTTATTTCGACTTAGAATATGCATCATGGGATCTAAATATGTATCATTATTATAACAGTTTTATTATAGCCTTGAAGCTTTACGTTCAAATCCCTGAAACTCTAGCGCTTATCCGTAAAAGTCACCAATTTTGCAAGCCACGTATAAGTCTCAAACCTTCGTATATTTAATGCCTGCGAAGATATGAGGTTCATTATTTTTGAGAGAATGATGCAATAGAACTCAAGAATTGAATGTCTTATGTGGATTTTGTTGGTACCTGTTTGTATTTTTGACTCTTCTGACCTGTTTTCTGGGATGGGAAGAGATCTTGCTTTGATCTACAATTTAACGAAAAAAACGAAATTGCGCCGATTAGGTAGTAAATACTACTATTAGTCATTGAGGAATTGAGTCCTCAATTAATGCCGTACACAAATTATTTTGTTGCGTGCAATGAATGGCTCGCGTGCCTTAGGTTCGCCAGCTCTGATCTATGTTCTTTGGAACCAGTTTAAACTTAAATGTAACAAGTAAGAAAGTCTAAGTTCGGGCGGAGCCGAACATTAAATACCCGGCGCAAGTATTAAATATATGTTTTCCACCTTTCCGAAAGCTACCGCTACATGATAAGCCGGCGTGTATAAATTTTAAGTAAACTAGCGTCCTTAAATTTCAAAATATTGAAATTTCAAGCATTTCTGAAATTTACCGTTATTTGAAAAGCGGCCGTAATTTTAGTCCGATTTCAACAATTTTCAATGGTTTACTTTTATGTGACAAGCACAATAACCATACCGAGTTTGGTACAAATTGCTAGTACGGTTAGCGAGATACATATACGTGATCATAAGTGGGCGGTGCCACGCCCATTTTCCAAAATTTTATCATAAACGTATTTCCTGGCAAAGAATTGTTGCAACCATCATTTTGAATAAATTAGCTTTAATATTTACTGATTTATCGAGGATATCGTATTTCTCGAAATTACCGTTATATGGGAGGTAGGCGTGGTTATTGTCCGATTAAAATTTTCAGCCATTTAGTATGCTGTACTAAGGCCAACAACTGTGCCAAGTTTGGAAGAAATTGGTGTAGCGGTTACCAAGATATACACATGTAACCATAAGTGGGCGTGGCTACGTCCATTTTCAAAAAAGTTTTAATATTCTTATTTTTCGTCTAAAATTTATTATAAATATCAATTTTGAGTGAATTATCTTCAGTAGTTACTAAAATATCGCAGTTTTTGTATTTCTGAAAATTACCGTTATATGGGAGGTAGGCGTGGTTATTGTCCGATTTTGCCCATTTTCAATACCATCCGTCCTACGCCCGAAAGAAGTACACGTACCAAGTTTCGTTAAGATATCTTAATTTTTACTCGAGTTATCGTGTGCACAGACGGACGGACAGACGGACGGACAGACGGACGGACGGACGGACAGACAGTCACCGCTTAATCGATTTCTCTTTTCATTCTGATCATTTATGTATACATTTGTCTATATCTATCTCGATTCGTTTTGCCTGTTACAAACAACCGTTATGTGAACAAAGTTATAATACCCTTGTGCACGAGTGCGCTCGGGTAAAAAAATTCCAGAAGCAATGATTTTTCAGATACATATGTAAACGGAAATGCCAAAAGGAAACGGAACTAAAACGTACGTTATCCTATTAGTCATTGAGCCAAGTCATAGCCCCGAACCGATTCACCAATTGACTTCGTACAATCGCAGCTAACTCTAGTTTATTTTGCTCTGTCGACGAACAATAAGAATCCAATTTGATAAAAGTAAAGAATTTTCAATTGATACAATCAATAAATACAAAATAGTTCCCACCCCGTGCTTCCGGTAGTGCATTCCATTGGTTTCCGTTAGGGCATTCCTATGATTTCCGTAAGTGCATTCCAGAAAAATTCCGAAAGTTTGACGTTTTGTGTTTTGTTTTGCTTTCGTTATTCTCCCTTCATCAATTTTGACAATTAAACAATTTTTGACATTTTCTTTTGCTTTGTCGACGAACAAAAAGAATCCAATTTGATAAAAGTAAAGAATTTTCAATTGATACAAACAACAATAAATACCCATCAAAATCCAATTATAATCCGAAATTTAGAGTTTTGTTGATTATAATTGTAAAATAGTTATTTAAATGGGTTCAACATCCCTAATGCCGCAGCAAAATATATCAAACTAGGACGTAACCCGCGACGTGCTTTTGATGAACACATACTCACTCGCTACTCGTCAAACTCCAGCAATCTGAGCAAAGCGCCATCAAGCGCAGTGCTGGACGCATTCTGACATGTCCTCGCATAATGGCGCTAGGAACGAGGATGCATACCGTCCTCTGCCTTCGGCAGTCGGCGTGGATGTCGCACCACAAGTGCTAGCACAACGTATGAACGCCGCTGGTCCACCGCCGCAAACACTTCTGATGGGCTCACCTTTTATGGCATCGCAAGCACATCCTCGGCATCAACAACAGCATCAGCAGCCGCAACATTACAATGAATACTTCTACAATTTGTACGCAACTCAGCCAGGTCAACCAGAGACATATTCAGTGCTACCAGTTGGACATGGAAATTTTTTGAAAGTTTATCACTGCCAAGAAAATGCTGCAGCCGCTGGTTTGCCCACAGAGAGCAATGCAGTATATCATGCTGGGCCGCAACCTCCGCCGCCTTCACATCAATTTCAGCACCAGGCGCAGGCAGCGTTTCATATGCGGCAAACACAGTCGCAGCCACCACCACCGCAGTTCTTCAACAGCTATGAGCTGTTCTCTAGCAATACTTTGATGCCAACCCCAGATAACCAAACAACTCTGGGGCGAACCGAAATTAAAGCAACAACAATGCAAGTATCACAGCAGGCTCCTATTTTTATGCTGAACAACCATGACGAACCCATCTTACCACAAACTGCTGGTACATCAACCACAAATATGATTATTAATAAACTGGTCAATAATTGGTCACCCAAAGTGACTGATGCACCAATCCAACAAATACCAATGCAATCTGCCCCAACGCTGTTGAGCCCGGAAACATCTAATGCTGTTAAAGACGCTGAAATTGCCAAAGTTGGATGTTCGCAAAATTCAACTAACGATTCTGAATTTGCTGAAGAACCAATGCCACTTTCCGTCACAACTACAACAATTTTATCCAAACCTATGCCAGTATTGCCTGTAACTCAAGTGCCGCCCATTGATATGCCATCAACTGAAAATCATAATAAATCCAAAGAGGCAGCGATCGAAGTCGCAAATACATCATCTGGTGCTACAATAACAGCACCAACAGCAATGCCCCATATTAATAACGCGCCTGAAGTGAAGAAACGAATTGTGGCTGAGGTAAAGCCAATGCGAATGTCCTATTCAGACGTTTTGAGCAAATTAAACAATCAACAATCAACTTCCACCCAATCGCACAACAATAATAAGCATTCGTTGGGGAAGAACGGAAAATCGGGTTCTGAGAGGAAAGCTGAAAATAGGGGAGGTGTGGAAAACGGTTCTGGAGGGAGTGGTACGGGGCGAAGACCATTGAGTGTTGGTGATGATATCAGTCAAGGGCGATCAAGTAAAAAATCTCCGACACATGATAACAAAGAAAATCAACAGCAATCGTTGAACGGAAGTAACGCTAAAAACAACAGACGTTCAAACAACAACTGCAATGGCGCTGTAATTTCCAACATGAATCCCAGCAGCAGTATCCCACAGAAACAGGGACATAAAATCCACCAGAGACCAATAGTTGCAGAAAGCAGCGCTCCGAATGGCATTAACGGTGTTAATAAAATCAACAACAACACCATAAATGGTAAAAAGCGCCTAAACAATAAACGCAACGATACAGATGCAAACAAAGGGGAGTCAAATGTAACAAAAACTCAAAAAATAAATGACGCAAATTTGGAAAAAGATTTCAATGCTTACTACAACGTTACAGCAAAAAATAATGATACAACGGAACGTGCATCCAGAGCAACTAATAATGGTTTCGTTTCAGCATCCAACAATACTAATACATCAACAGCAACTACACGGAAATCAAACAAATTCTCATCATCGTTTTATAGCACCTCTAACTCTTCATCTTTCAACACGAATCAGTCACGCGCACGGTATAGTAATGCCAACTCGAATTCCTCCTATTCGTACTCGTCGAAACGTAGCCGAAATACTAACTCCTATAGCAATACCTCGGCTGGGACATCGAATAAAAACTACGAGTTAGCTAAAAAGTTTCTACGGGCATGGCTGGAATACACCATAATGATACTGACCTGGCTCTTCTATTTGATATATGATATTGTGGTGCTCGGCTTTAGTGTGGCGTACGATCGTCTGGTACATGCTTGTGAATGTGGAATTGTGTACGCGAAGCAATTGCGCCAGGACTTTAAGCAGAACTCAAACAAACCGAGTATTTGGCTTAAAAACCATCTGCGACTATTTGACGCGCGTTTTAAAAAGAATTCGCAATGGGCTTTTTGGCGTCGCTTCTATCAAAAGAAGCCACCTGAGCCAACTGCAGATAATATGAAAAGTGGACGACTGCCGCAAACGGGTGAGGAAGCCATGTATTCGCTACTTAATTGTAAGGGCAAGGATGCTTACAGGTAAATATCCTATATATAATTTATGGCATTAAATTTTAAATTTTTGAATTCCGCATTCAGCATATTGGGAGTACCGCCTGATTGTTCACAGGAACAGATACGCAAACACTATAAGAAAATCGCTGTTTTAGTGCATCCAGACAAGAATAAGCAAGCAGGGGCCGAAGAAGCTTTTAAAGTGCTTCAACGAGCCTTTGAATTGATTGGGGAACCGGTAAAGTATTTTAATTTTATGATGCGATGACCGATGTAATTGCGATACTATTTTCACTTTAGGAAAAACGTCTTGCCTATGATCAGAGTCTAGCTGAAGCTTTACACGCCGAAAAGGCGTGGACTGAGCTGCACGATTTGCTATCGCAACTGCAAACAAAAATAACCGAAGCTGCAAATACAATAAGGTACAATCATTTCTACATCCCAGTCATAGCGTAACATCAAATAATTTCAATATCGAAATTTTATTGTCTAGGTGTAGTACTTGTGGTCTGAGGCACCCCCGGCGGCTAACGGATCGACCGCACTATGCAGCGAGAGAATGCGCTTCGTGCAAAATTCGTCATTCAGCCAGGGAAGTGAGTAGTGCTAGGCTTAAGTTTGTACGTATGTAGAAACAATTAATAATTTTACTTAATTTTGTTTTCAGGGTGATATTTGGGCTGAAACCAGCATATTGGGTTTGCGTTGGAGATATTTAGCACTAATGGAAGGGAAGGTCTATGACATTACCGAATGGGCTAACTGTCAAAAGGGTGCCCTTTCTCATTTGGAACCGAATTCTCATATGGTGCAATATCGCATTGTGCGTGGCGCACAACAACAGCAGCAGCAGCAACAACAACAACAACAACAATCGCAGCAACAGCCTTCCTCCACTAATCCACATCATTCACCACATCACCAGAATCCTCAACAGCCATATACGCAGCAGCCTGGGTCACAACATGAAAGAACCGGCAATGGAAAATTTAGGCGCAATGTGCCGCCAAGGTTAGTTATGGCTATTCATAATATGTAAAATTTCTATAATATGTATGGTATTCTTAATACAGCGAAGCATCGTTACATGAGTTCCTCGATAATTTGTATAGCGGTCAACATCCCAATCCGGCAAATGCGTCAGCGGCTTATTCAAACGCTTCACGTAGACGTGCACGCCGCAATTAATTCAATGTCCCATGGAGTAGTTGACAACGCTGTCTATTTTAAACTCTGAAATTATTTTCTCTTCAATTGTACAAGTTTTTATTAATTCATTTGTTTTTACAAAACAATAATTTTAAATTTAATTATGCTTTATTGCATTACATATATGACCATAGAATATTCTACATTATTATTCTCCTTTAAATTGTATCGCATATCTATGCCACAGTATGCAAGTTGAGTAGATAAAAATGCAGGCACTCCTGTATAAAATTTGTCATTTACAATTTATGTACACACGTTGTCCATTTGATGGCACCGTAATTGCAATTTTTGCAAATTACATATTTATTTGATGTACTCGTCTCGATTAAACGCCATTTCTACCAAATAGCAAGCAAAAGTATCTTCTACAAGAGAAGCAAAAACTACAAAAAAATATTTCACTAATATTTAACGAAATTAACTTCAAGGCAGAACTAGGAAAAAATAATCTGGCGTATAAAAATAATTTCACATTGCAACACATTAATGAATGAATGTTCTTTACTATATATTGTAATTAAGTGCATTTGATGTATCAATAACTAAACATTAAATAAACACAACATGCGCGAAATGCATAAGTTGCCAGCATGAAAGCAAATTTGTAGAATTTTTAGTTTGAGGCATTTTTATTGAAGATACATACTAGGGCTGATGATTTCACCCGGGTAATGAGCTACCCGGGTAGCGGGTGAAGCCCTACCCGGGTATTGAATTACCCGGGTAGCCCGGGTACCCGGGTATTGAATTACCCGGGTACCCGGGTATTTTATAACCCGGGTAGACCGGGTACCCGGGCAGTATGGTAATTACCCGGGTACCCGGGCACCCGAAAAAATGTGGAGAGGTGAAAATTAAACGCATTTACGATCATATTGTTACGATTATCCTCGAAACCTTGAGGGATTTCCCAAATATACT